GCACAGCCGCAAGCCGCTGCTTCCGGTTTTCTCGCCGGCGCACGCTCACGCTCCGGTGCGTCCCCGCTCCCGGCCTCCCACCGCTCCCACGCTCACGCTCACGCTCACGCACGCGCGCTGAGAGCGCCGTGCGCGCGCACGCGGTCAGAACCTATTTAAGAAGTAACTTGTCGCTCGGTGGCTGGGCGTCGGCCTGCGACCCGGGAGACGCGGGTTCGATTCCCGGTCCTGGCACACGGGGGGTTGCAGGCTGCATTCCCAGTGGGGGACGTACGACGTGCAGACCCCTTGCTCCCTCTGAAATCAATAAAGACATTAAAAAAAAAAATTAAAAATATGAAGGCGTGCCAGGAGTACAGTAAGTGCATGCATCTCGAGTGTGCAAATGGACCAGTGTACAACTCTAGTTTGGGAGAGAGAGTGAAGCATCAGTGATGAGTCATCCGCTGCCCCTTCAGGTCACAAGTCCCCCACTGGGGATGGAGCCACATCCTGGGCACCTGCCCTGGGTGGGAATCCAACCACCGCCTCCTGGATCCTAGGTGGATGCTCAACCGCTGACCCGTACCGGCCAGGCAGATTTATTAGTTTTTGCATATCCTTCCATCCAGATCAAGATGAAGGACACATCCAGGACCAGAAAGGGTCCCCTCCTGCCCCTAGTTGCTTCTTACTGCTCCATCAAAGAATGAGGGTCAGCTAAGTATGCAAATTCAATTTAAATTTAATCGTGTCTGCTTACCAATGCAGATAACTCAAACAGAAGTTTCTGGCTTAGAAATTTGGGCTATTGGTCAGTTCTCTGCTTTAAACTGTTTTAGCCCAGCCGGCGTGGCTCAGAGGTTGAGCATCGACCTCGGATGGGGAGATCGCAGCTTGATTCCCGGTCGGGGCCCATGCCTGAGTTTCCGGCTCCATCCCCAGTCAGGGGCGTGCGGGAGGCAGCGATCAATGACTCTCATCATTGATGTTTCTCTCTCTCTCTCCCTCTCCCTTCCTCTCTGTGAAATCAATAAACATTTTTTTAAACTGTTTTAAAATTTTATTTTACCACAGATGTTTTTACTTATTAATCAATATTACTTGGCTCTACTGCATATCAGGCACTGTTCCAGGCACTGTGTGATACAGGAGTGGACAGACAGTCCAAAACGTCTGCCTCGAGCTTCATTCTAGTAGGTGGAGATACCCAGAGAGCAGGAGAAATCAATAGTATGTTACCTAGACACGAGTGTGTTCATTTCTTCAACGTACATAGTTCCTATATAGGTTCGTACACAAGAATTTCTCCATCTTAGAGCTGTCTCATGAATCTCATCCTTGTTTTCCTCAGTTGCTGCCCCAAATGCAAGCCCCCTCCCTGGTCCTCTCAAATTTTCATCCTTAGAATGTCCCATCTTTCCTCTGTCCGGACTTGCCTTCCTCCCTCCTCTTGACAAACTCTCACAGCTACTTCAGCCCAGGTCTGGCTGACTGAACACGGCCTCTCCGCAGCTGCAGTGTGCGCATTCCCCACGCACTCCGCTTCTGGGGGAAGCCCCAGAGAATGTGAATACTCAGGTATGCCCAGGGCTGCGGTTCGGCCAGGTGGTTGCAATTCCTAAAAACACTGGGAATACATCAGAAGGACCCAGAGACCAGCTTGAATGGGCTCCCACCGGCAAATCAGAGACACTTTGATCATCAGAACAAATAATGGTTGTAACAATTACAACTCATTGAATAATATGGGAGACTATGAGTTCATTAAATATGAATACATGAATAAATTAAGTGCTTAAGGAACAGCATATTTGCAAACCCAAGACTCTTCAGTCCAAGGGCGGACACTCTAACTGCTGAGCCAAACTGGCCAGGGACATCCTGGTCGTTCTTTGAACATGTCCTCACTTTGTGTCAGAACAAGATGTTGAGATACAGCAAGATGCCTCTTGCCTCAGCTCTGGAACTGGCTATTTTTTTCAAATACCATCCTAATCTAGTGATCAAAGTGACCAGGATCGGTTAAGGGACTGACTGGAACCAGGTTCCATCTGATAAGATGTAAACAAGCACATTACATCACTTCTGTGACATGCCTGCCAAAGATATGTGATTTTGACCCCGTGGCGAGGAAACAGCAGACAAACTCAAATGGAAGGAACTTCTACAAAAAAAAACCAACACAAAAAAACACACACATAAAAACACACCCCAAAAAAACCCGCCTGTAATCTTCAAAGTGTCAAGTCCCAGGGTGGCCACGTGAGGAGAACAGCTCTTTGGAGTGAGGAGCCAGAGAGGCTGTGGTGTGGAACCAGGGCACCCGGTGAGCACCCAGGACTGCGGCAAGGAAAGAGGCTCCAAAGTGCAGGAGAATGAAGGCCTGGGAGGGAGCAGCAGGGAAGGAGGGAAGGAGGGAAGGAGGGTGTGCAGCTGGCAGCTCCTGCTTCAGGGCTTGGGCAAGACGGGGAGGGGGAAATCGCTAGAAATGCCCAGCGGTCCCTGCAGGCCAGGGCAGGGCAGGGGGCTGCGGGGGAGCCGGGGTTGGTTCTGAGCAGGGTGGGAGCCACGCTGTGGTAAGCTGCGGACCCACTCCTGGTACCCTGAGAGCACCAGGCTGCAGGCCTGGGGAATTTAATCCGAGTGCAGGCGGGCCCAGCAGACGGGGCCGGTGCCTTGCTGTGGTCAGCCAGCACTTGGCCAGACCATGGTGGTCCCAGGACCCACAGGCACTCTGGCCCTGGCCCTGAAGAAGGTGAAAATGCACCCTCCTTACGTGGGGACACAGCTTAGCCAAGGACCAATTCTGCAAATCATCAGCAGGGGGCGCTGGTGACAGCCGGAGGGCCCCGAGAGCTCCTGCTGGAGAAAATCACAAACAATTCCCAAGCAGGAGAGTGGGGAGACACTTGACTCCAGTTAAATAAAACAAACACACACCCACAAAAAACTCTGGACGCAACCCAAGTGTCCATGGATGGCTGAGTGGGTAAGCAAAATGTATTCTATCCATACAAAGGACTATTATTCAGCCTTTTTAGGAAGGACATCCTGACACCTGCTACAACAGGGATGAACCTGGAGGACGTTACGCTCAGAGATGAGCCAGTTACAGTAAGACAAACGCTGTGTGATCCCCCTTACTTGAGGTCCTAGGGTAGTCAAATCGTAGAGATAATTGAACAGTGTCTGCCAAGGGCTTGGGGGGAAGTTGTTTAATCGGTATGGAGTTTCAGTTTTGCAAGATGAAAGAGTTCTGGAGATCGGCTGCACAAGGTGAGTATGCTTCATGCTACTGAGCTGCACACTTAGAAATGGCTCAGACAGTAGCTTTTATGTTATATATTTTTACCACAATAAAAAAAATTCTCCTCTGACTTAGCAATCCTAGGGTTAGAAATAGAATTCATTTTGGGGAAATTATCTGAGCTTAAGATAAAGGTTTATGCATGAAAATATTAGTTGTAGCATACTTAAAAAACACACACACAAAAAAGTAAGAACTATTGTTACCGGCGAGACAAGACCTCGGCTCTTGTCTTCTTGCAGGAAAGATTTCAGTCAAGAGACAAAGTGCAGCAAAACAAGAGCTTATTGGCTGCCGCAAAAGTGCTCTCAGATGGGACATTTATTGAAGCTGGGGACAGTGGAACGAGGACGGACTCAGCACAGAAGCAGCAACAGGGGAGCCTCCTCAGGGGGCTGCTCTGGCTCCCTGGGGAGTCAGAGAAATGGGGCCTTGGACACAGGGTCAGGGGGTTAGCCCGGGATGAGCTGCTGCTGCCATTGCTCCCCTCGCTGCAAGTCTGGCGGGGTCCCTTAGAGTTTAGGGGGTGCATGCCAGTGGGGGGAGGAGAGGGGAAGGGAATCATTAAGGAGTGTCACAGGCGTGCTCCCAGGAGCCCACAGCTGGGTCCTTTGTGCTGAGGGTGTTCGTGTCCCTCCTGCAGGTGGAAATTTTAGGGCAGATCTCAGGGGAGGGTCTCAATAGAATACTCATCAGCTTTCCAGGTGTGCTCGGTCAAGGTCGGTCAAGGTCGTGGTCTCCCCTGATTGGCCGGCGCCAGAGCACCCGGTCATTACCCAATGCAGCTGGTGCTGAGGCAGCCCGAGTGTCAATTCTCTAGTTTTGCTGCTTTCCTGGGCCTGGAGCTGAAACACAACTGAGGCCTAGATGTTATCTCTGGGCAGGAAAAGTCAGGGGGCCCAAACCACAGGACCAGGGAAATGCTAAGGGAGGAAAGGTCACCCCGGGGGCGAGTCCGGGTTCTCCCAGTTTTTCCCCTTGCTGGGCATCCGGGCTTTTCCCTCTGCTGACCTGCACCTGGCCCACTGTCCTTGCTCTGCTCACATCTAACTGCTCACCACATCGCATCTTTAATAATGAGCTGACGATGGCACCCTCATGCCAGTGGACTCTGTGCAATCATGAAGAAGTGCTGGTTGGACGTGACTTCGGCTTTACGAGGACCTGGATGCCAGGTGCCCTCCCACCCCGGAAGCTGTGAACTCCAGAGAGGAGACTGTGAACTTCACCCATGGGGAGCGGGCATGGGGACCCCGAACAGAGATGGGCTGACCGAGAAACTCGGGAGGCTGGTGTCTTGGGGCAGGGATCTGTTCTCCAAACCAGAGAGCCTCTCAGTTGGAGGCTGGGGCAGAGCCATGATGAGATGAGAGAAACTCCAGGGCAGCTTTGGGAACTGCTCTCGAGCCAGAGAAAGAATCTGCTGCAGAGCAGGGCACTTTGCTGGAGCAGATCCATGAAGATGAATCCTCTCGTCTTCATGAGTCAAGACCGGGACTTGTACGGACCTGTCAGAGAAGCCAGGTCCTTCAAGGAAGTGGCCTGTGGCTATTTTCATGCTCCAGTGGCGCCGGTTCTTAGTTGAAGGCACAGAACTCTGCCCGCCTCCAGGTGATGATTAGAAGACTTTTCTCCTTTAAGAAGGTGGTAGTTCTGGATTGCTGAGACCTGGAGAGCTGGGGGCAGAGCTCGTAGCTGGGAACTTCTACCATGCTGCAAAACCCAGGAGAGTTTCCCAGGTCCCTCTCTTGGCATCAATTGCCTGACTCTAAGTCTGGGGTGAGGGCAGAGTCTGGGGGCCCCAGGTCAGGTGCCTGCACCCCAGCTATAAGCGAGGCTGGGGAGCGAGGGCTCTGGTGTTGTCAGCAGCTTCTGTGAGTTTGTCATTTGCAGGATGGTGACTAACGTGTGACGGAGCGAGAAGAAAGGAAAAGTGATTTCCACTCTGGCCCACGCTTGCAGGCCCCCATGTCCCGTGGACTTGGCCTTTCATGCTTTACTTCGATGTGTGTATCTGCTCCTAATTTAATGCGGCCTCCCATCGCTGACGCTTCTCTCCCCGCCCCCCGTCCTCTCTCTGAAATCAATAAAGACATATTAAAAAAAATTAAAAAGATACCTGAGAAAACGTGTTTGGAGAGACGGATGGAGGGCCCAGGGTTTGATGAGTGGCTATGTGACCGACTGAAGACTGACTGCGTGTCCCACAGTCCTCCCTGGGGCCCATATAGGTGGCGATGGCTCCATGCGGATGAGTGAACATAGGCAGGGACCGAACCTCCCCACCAGGCCGCACAGGGGGGGCACTCAGGAGATGGCCTGAGAGCGGATTCTTACCAACCGGCCCGTGTCCTTCCTTCTCCGTGTCCCCACTGGGCAGGCGATGAGCATGAAGTGCACATTAGTGAGCTCTGTGGGGTGTGTGTGTGTGTGTGTATGTGTGTGTGGTGCTGAGGCTTGAAGGAAATAACCAGTTTCTCCGAGGCCAGGCTCATTTCACAAGCATTTTATTAATCAGGTGGCCATCAGCTCGCTCCGCAGCCCAGAGAAATAAATCATCGCCGCCAAGAGCTTCCCGGGGCCGGGGTCGCTCCCTGTGCCCGGGCAGGCACCTGGTCCGCAGGGCGTCAGTTGGCTCCCTCCTGCTGGAAAAACTTGTGACAGGCGGACGTGAGCGCGGCCACGAACACGATGAACTCGTTGAAGTCCACGGTGGCGTCGCCGTTGGCATCCAGGTCCTTGAGCAGCTTCTCCACGGTGTCCTTGTCCCGTCCGCTCTGGAGGAGACAGGGGCCAGGGTCAGGGAGTGGGGTGCCTGCGGGGGCTCCGGCCTCAGTCAGACACCATCACTGGGCAGAGGGGGGGAAACCCCAGCGTGTGCCAGGCCAGCTGTGCCCAGCAGACGCACGCCCTGGAAAGAAAACGGGGGGCTCTGGGGTGCGGGGACCCGCCCCGCGCATTGGAAGGGTTGGCTTTGGACTGTCTGATGCTCGTTACCATGACGATCCCCAGGAGACGCACCCACTCGCGGCCTCTCCTTGGGCACCACTAGCTCTGTGGGCGCTGCCTCAGCAAAGATCTTTTCGGGAGGCGCCGAGCTGGCTGCTCTACGCACCTCAGAGCTCACCTCCACCAGGCTGGAGGGCGGGTTACCCGGGTTACAGGGGAGGAGAGGGCCTGACACCGGGGGAAGGCAGAATCTGGGGTTCAGACAGGCCTGCCCTCCCTGCTTGGGCCCCAACGCCCCAGAACTTCTTTCAGAGGCATGGGTGGGGGTCTCTGAGGGCCTGTCCGGTGGCAGGGCAAGAGCTGTGGCCTCTGGAAGGGACCAGGCACCACCACAGTGCAGGTCCGAGAAACAGCAGCAGGGGGCGATGACGACCCAGCCCTGGAACCCGCAAACTCTGCAGGAAACTGTGGCGCCGCCACAGGGTGGAACACCTTGCTGCCATCCAGAGGGATGGCCCGTGGTTAGAACGCTGGCCCACAGACCAAAGGGCCGCGGGTTCGATTCCTGGCCAAGGGCACATAGGCTACCAGGGTTTGTGAAGCGCCGGCTGTGCCAGGTGCTGGAGGTGCCGGACTGTCCATCAGTGGACCCTGCATGAGGGGACACTGCTGAGCACATGCTCCTCCAACTTTGCGGGGCCCCAGCATCATTTAAGGGCAAAGGCCCCCCTGCCAGGCTACCCCGGGATTCTTCAGACCCAAGTCTGAGGATCCCTGTCTTAGCCGCTGGTTCTCAAAATGTGCTCCCAGGACCACCTGCCTGGGCGGGATGTTCAGTGAGTGATGGAGAAGAATGTATGCTACAGCATTGAGTTAAAAAAGAAATGAAATCGCATATAAACTAGAAATTCGTTCAGATTGACTTTCATGGGGAGAGGCCATGTGGGGGGATTTCTCCCCCCCACATTTCTGTATTCCTACATTGTCTATCACAAAACAAATGAACTTTATCAGTGTGGGCTCAGACCCTTAGAGGGCAGGAAGGCAGAGTTGGGGGAGGGGCGGGGGGAGACTAGCAGGGGGACGG